ACGGGTAGCTTTGCGTGACAAGTTCGCATATCCCTGATTGATTTTATTACGAATGTGACTCACGATATCGTAAACGTCAAGTCTGATAGCGTATATATTAAAGTCTGTATAATTAAAAATACTACACAAACATTCTATTAAAATTTTAAACAAAATCAAATGATGAATAAAGAAAAAAAATTTGAAATTAATTTTCAATGAAAAAATTAATCAGCAAATACTAATTATAATAATTTCGTTATTAAGTTTTTTGTAATATTAAATTAAAAAAATATTTACTGAAATTATACAATGACGTTATCAAGAAGATATATTTTCTTGAAAAGTTTAATACGCATTTGTTCTGATGTAATTTTTGTTCGTGCAAATATGTAAGCAGATATTGTCAACGTAATCTTACAATGTTTGACATAAATCATTATGGAATACATTGGAATTCGCTTTAGTATGATAAAAATCTACATTAACGTGTTTTGTAATAAAAAAATGCACCTTGTTTTGATCGCCTCAGAAAGTTTAAATACGCATTACTGCGTATATTCTGCAAGAAATAAGCAGACAGATGTCTTTGTAATGGACTTGTGTTTGTATTGATCTTGTGAATACATGCTACATTGCTGAAATAGTAAAAAAAAAGATGGATGCACTTACACGTGCGAGATTTTTATTAAAATCGCGTATTATCGAAAACATGACTCTATTTGGATAAGAGTTCTGATATTAGTTTATTAATATCAGTGATATCATCAATCGTAATGGCAAATCTAAATACATATGTTACATATATCAAATAAATATATCGTTATCGAGTTACGATCTCTTCCGTGAATGCGGAATAAATAAAATTTAAGTCCTATTTATATAACAACGTAAATATTTGAAATTAAATTTGATATAAAATTTTATATTTAAAAAATATATTCTTGTTCAATCAAATTAAGCGGAATATAATATATATTGTATATATGAAAAGATCTCATTGCGCGCCTTTTCGATAATATATGTAAAAAAGAAAATAATTAACGAATCTAATTAGTTGATCTATATTGATTTCTTAATTTTAATATATCAAATTACGTTATATATAAAATTTATTAATTTAATCAAAATTTAATTTTTACTAAAAGACACGCTATAACTAAAAAATAAAATATAAAATTGAACTATCACTTGCAAACAAATTAAGAGTATGAGATGAGCAGTTTATAAGTTTGTCGGTGCTTTCTATTTGATGTAAAACAGAATTTGCCTGGATCAAGAAATTTTAGAACAGATGTAGCTTCCCCCCTCATTGAATTATATATAGACTTGACGTAGGAAAAGCAGCTTCCATCTCTATACATATGTATGAGAGTCAGTTTATGAGAGCGTGTTATTAATTTGATGAATGACAATCATAAAATCCGTTTCAACGATTGCGTTAACGATTGACGAGCAGAAAGAAAGATTATGATAATTAATAGTGGTATTCACGGAAATGGATAGTGTCTCTATTGCATTTATTACTCATCCGACTGGAAAATAAGCCAGAGAGACAAATAAGCATGAATAGATTACTACTAAAGGCAATGCGATTAAAAGAACATGCATTTGACACTTTGAAAAATATCCTGTATATCTCATATTATTAAAAATCGTAATATTTTATAATTTTATTATTATTATTATAATTTTATTATTATTATTAAATTTTTAATTATTATTATAATATAATAATAATAAATATTTTTATTATATGAATATCAGATGATTCTCAAAATGACATTTGGGAGTAATCCTGCAATGAAAAGATCTCACTGCCGAGAAAATTTCATTTCGTTCTCAATTTAATTAATACTAGAAATTTATAAAATATTATTGTATTTAAAATAATCTCTATATTTTAAAAGATTAAAATGGATGGAAACGTGTATAAGATAATATATAAAGGAATGTTTTATATGTAAATTACATATAAATGTTTTATGTTTTATGTTGATGAGTTTTGATGAAGGTGTGTGTAATTTTATGCAGATATTCATTTTTATAAGCGCGCATCGTTCGTAGTGCGAATAACTCGTGGATTAACGCGACGTGCGTAAGATTACCACATCGACCTTGGACCATCAGCCTTATACATATACGGTGGTATTGCCTGGCTAACATGACGTCACGAATCTTCGCTTGAGTCATAGTGGTCCACAAGGCAACGTATCATATACCAAAGATACGTGGACACCGGAATGTCCATCTTTAGCGCGTTCCATCTTCGCGTCGTTATATTAAAACAAAATAACTCCAAATGTTAACATCTCAGGTACGTGCATACAATTTTCCAAAAAAAAATATTTATTTCTTTAGAAGGAAAAAAAATCCTAAATTATATAAATAAAAATTATTCAGGAAGAACACACATTTCATATTTATTTAAAAAGATAATATTATGGATATTATGTGACATTTTTTTTATCTAAATTTGTTTAAAATGTTTCCAACTATGATATTTACAGCCGATTTTTTATACTTAATTTAATTATATTTTCAATAAAATCTTTAATCGCGTGAAATACTACAATGATATGAATTATTGCAAGTTTTAGGGCTCCAATGAATGACAAGTTAGATCTTATGTTAATACTATCGGTTTGCACATTAAAATCTTAAATCAATCATGATTAATTATAACGTTAGTGTTTCAAATGTGCGATGGAGATATAATTACCTACTTAACAATATAACAGTCCGATGACAATAAACAGTTATAACTACCGATATGGTTAATTATATCAGCCAACAATAGAGTTGCAACTAATTCGATTTAATCTCTCGTCGGAATGTTCGACGAATGAATAATTTAACAAATCGATCTGCAATGATTAATGAGCCGTAAGTATCGAATAAACACTTGCGCTGCTCATTAATCAACATCTATCGGCGAAGACAATTATCACACTCATTACGTACTCATTGATATATGATAATGAAATTCTCGATACGATAAGTGTTCTTCAGATATTTCAAAAACTTGAGAAAAAGTTTGACAAAATTCTCGTTTCGATACATTATGCTTCTGTCTACCCTTAAAAGAAAAGAAAAAGCGACTCGAACACTTTTTTAATGAAACAAACTCTTCAATCGTCACCGAGACTGTCATCCTTCGCAGACGTGATCCTACGTCGTAAACATTTAGAATTGAGCGGGTGATTCATGAGAGACGTGTTATTATATTTAATGTCGCATTTAAGTGTGCCGTTTACCTGGGTCTTAGCTCACCTTTCGAAATAGAGTTATTAATTCGTCTTCTTGTCCCTCGGACGCAGCGAGAAAATGAGAATGACTAATGAGAAACGCGAAAAAGAGACAAGGCAAACGCCCACGTTGTTGCGCCTCAATCAAAGTCCGCATGAATAAATTTAATTCATTGATCGATCGATCACTTGGTGTGTAAATTGGATTTTGTTGCTATTTATAAGTATCTATAAAAAATTCCGACAGACGCCTTACACATTTCATAATTATTCCATGTATTATAAATAGCATTCATGCATAATATTTGATAATCGCGCTATTATATTACATAATGCAGTGATTTTTTAATTTTTAAGTACGCAATTTATGTGACATTAGCGGCAAACAAAACGTTCACGTTTCCTAGTCATTGATTTCGGGTATCTTCCCATTTCTCAAATCCCAGGCCAGAACGTGACAACGATAACGAGCTAACAATGCTCATCAGCTAGACAGCATTACGTCAAGTCACGTTCTTCGCAAAATGCTCCTAATCTTAAAGAGAACATGAAGTAACCGAGACGGTTTCTAGCTCTAGATTATGGTAATTTTGCAGCAAGCAAAACACAACTTTAAAAAGATATCGCCGCGCGATTAGTTTCAATTTTACACATTATAAGCCTAGGGAGGCTTTTATTTCTATATGATTCATCGGAATATATTTTTAAATTGGAATCATATCATCGAAGACTGAATCAACAAAGATGTCTCTTTAAAATGTCCCCTAGATATCAATCAAAGACATTGGTGAAAAGAATTATGATACTGAGATATATTGTAGTAAATAATCTCAATGGATGATATTCTCTAGATAAAGTTAATAACGATAGATAACCTTATCAGCTCCTATCAATATAATATATTTAAAATTATGGGATCCTTTTAATTAAAAAGTATATGCCTAAAATATATATTATTGAAATTAAATTTCTCTAGGGTTCAATATAAGGTATGATATATTTTTTCATAAAAATTTCCAAGTTATACATGACTCTATTTATATTAGCGCATCTTCCTTTCTGGATAAAAATCCTATATATGTGTAAACAATTAAAATTTTCCAATTGGTGCAATCGAGCAATTCAAATTTCTCTCTCGAAAAAGTTGATTAATAAATAAATTAATTTTGGTCCGATCGTTCTTATTTTCACGCAATTGCCTGCTAACTGTACAAATTGCGAAAAAAAGTCCTCGATGCAAGAATATAATGGGGTCACAATGCATGGAATTTCGCGCGAGACGAGGACGAAGAAATTCCTCGAATTAATTTAAATTGAACGAAGGGCATCTAATAGCGCATTCGCGAAAAAATCGGTGAAGAATTGCGCTATTAGCGAGCATTTGAGCAAAATACGATGACGGTACACGCGATTGCAAACTTGCAGCCTGCCAGTCGCCACATGCAACCATTCGTTAGACACTAAAACGCGGGCTATGACCTCCGTTGCAGACTTATTTGCAGAGATTCTAATTTGCATTTTTCATGGTGCTTCTCTCCGACATGCAATTACCGTATTCTCGTGACTAATTAAGAAATGATAAATTCAACAAACATGCAACAACAATTTTAGTAATAAAAAGATGATATGTAGAAGAAATTTTTAAAAATTAATAAAAGATCTTTTACATTGTATTTTGAATGACTCGATGTAAATTAAATTTAAAAATTACACAAAAGAGATGCGTTATTTTAAATAAATTTTTGATGCATTAGTCTTATAATCAATTTGCAGGCACTAAGAAGATGGAATATAAGACCAGACAATGGCACGAGAAGTGTTTCTGCTGTGTGGTCTGCAAGAATCCGATCGGCACAAAGAGTTTCATCCCGCGCGAACAGGAGATTTACTGTGCCGGATGTTATGAGGACAAATTCGCCACCCGGTGTGTTAAGTGCAACAAGGTGGGTTATTCCTTTCACTGTATCAGTGATTACTTCACATTCTTGCCTCGCATTCATTTATTACATATCGTCCAAAAAGCGAATGTAACGTAAGATGAATTAAAAGTGAGATCCTCTAATAAGATTATAAATTTCATTCTACTAAATTGATGAGATATAATTGCTACAAATAAATATAGATACTTTATATAAAAATATTGACAATATAAACATATCGATTATTGTATTACAGACTCTTTCTTTTAATTTCGAGCTTATATTTATTTATATTGATTTATATGGATTTTATTCATATTTATTTATATTTATTTTTTATTTATATTTATATTTCAGTTATTTAAATTTTCTTGTATTAATTTTTGAAAATATTTTGTATCGAATGAATTCAATTCTCGAAAGCTCAACTATAAAAAAAAATATGTAAAAATGTATTCTTTTTACATAGATTATCACCAGCGGCGGCGTGACATATAAGAACGAGCCGTGGCACAGAGATTGCTTCACTTGCAGCAACTGCAACAACTCCCTGGCGGGACAGCGATTCACATCGCGCGATGACAAACCCTATTGTGCCGAATGCTTCGGCGAGCTTTTCGCCAAAAGGTGCACCGCTTGCTCCAAACCAATTACCGGTACGTTATATTATTTTACAGCGCATTTACAACCTCTAACTTTAGTCACAAAATATTCTATTTAATATAAAATTTTTATTTAAAATTTCTATTTAATATGCAAATATTATTAATTACATATTGAAAAAACTCTAAAAAATCTCCAGACAAAAATTCAAGATTTAATGAGTTAGATAAGCTTGATTTTTCAATCATAGTAATCGATTCTTCAACAAACATGCGTGTTCAGTACACGTATGCGTATTCATTCTTAGAAATTTCTTTTTATATGCATTGTGCATTAACGTTAAGACTTGAAAATATAATTTAATCTAAGCGCTATTCGATGATTGATTCAGGTATTGGCGGCACTCGTTTCATCTCATTCGAGGATAGACACTGGCATAATGATTGTTTCATCTGCGCGGGCTGCAAAACCTCGCTGGTCGGACGTGGTTTCATCACCGATGGCGACGACATTATCTGTCCCGAATGCGCCAAATTGAAATTGATGTAAAGCGCGACTTCACACGACGACGAGGATGACAACGGGATCGACGGAAAGAAGCTGGAGAAAAGAAAGAACGGGGGACTTCCGGAACGGAGAATCCATACAGTCAAAAGCGGATTCTGTTATACGCCATAAATGAACAAAATCCGTCGTCGCGATTTTATTAGTTGACAATTCGGACTCGAAACGAACGCAGCATGCAGACGATAAAAAAATTTTATAAAATCATATCAAGACACAAGATTGCGGAAAAATTTAATAAAAATTATGAATAATAAAGAAGAGCTCGCATTACAGAGCCGAGATCAATTTTATTACAAACAATCGGCGTACTTTGACGAAACTTTTCGCGCCGATGTTTTTTTTTTTTTTTTTAAGAGAAAAATAAAGATCAGAAATCCTCTGACCAAGTTCTCGTCTTGGTCAGTATAGTGATTTTACGAATGGCGTCGATTTATCGAAAAAAGACGGCGCGAGAGAACACGAGATCATTTCTAGCTTTGTAGTTATAGCGACATTAGTCTTCGTTATTTCGTTCTACGTGTGTTTGTGGAAAGAGCACTGACACGTGTGTCTTTCTATGTTTGAGATGATTTGCTCGATCATCCCGTTGAAATATCGAAGAGTGAAAGAAATAAGTATCGAAAAGAAAAAGAAATACGTAACCAGCGAGCTCGAATGAAAGAGAAATCAAATCGCTTTACTGTAATAAAATGATTATCAATATAAACGGTTAGGATGATAAATAAACCTAATCGTTCCGCATACGTGCTCTCGTGATGTTACTAATATCATTTTTGCTTTGTACAATTGTAGAGAGATATGCGCATGTGCGCACAAAAAGAGAGTCTTATATAGCGTATGTGTATGTGTGTGTAATTTACATTTTTTTGTGCGAAAAACACAACGGTTTAATACATACACGTACATACACGTTACACATTTACATTTTATCCAATTGATATCACATCTTTTTCTCTCTTTTCCTTTCTGTATAATACTAGTATACATCTATCAAAATAGGAAAAAATAACATCTCAATATATTATAGTATATCTATTATTAATTTATAAATAAAACTCATCGAAAAATGAGTTTCTAAAAATGTGGTCTAATGATTAATTTGTCGTATTTTTAAATAATATTTGCAAAGAAATCTCGCTATTTCTAGATTTGAATAACAAAATTATTTAACGTTCGAAAAATCGCGTAGATCTTTTTATCATAAAAATTGTTAATTTTTTGTTAATTTTCCATGTGTTGACAAAGTGATAATGCACGTGCTGTTAATCACGGCGAGATGCAAAATGTACGTAAATTCGTATTATCGCTCAACAATATTCTAGCTATCTTTTCTTCTCTAGCTTTCTCCTATTTTCTTCTTGTTTTCCCCTTTTTCATTGAAAAAAGCAAGCGCATATCGTAGAGATTCATCATTGTCCTGTATAAAACACACGCACGCGCTCACCCACACATATACACACACACATACATGCAAACACACACACACACACACACACACATTACACACATACATCAATACTCGAAATTTTTCGTAATAGTATATTATTTTATTAAAAAAAAAAAAAAGCAAAAACGATAGAAAACGCACACATATACATACACATGACATGTATACAACATACATACATAACACACGCGTACGAGTGTGCGGCGGACGCACTCGCGGAAACACTAATTGTGGCCTTATCCGCATCGAGTACCATAGAAGTAAAAAAAAAAAAAAAAAAAAAGAAACTAACGTCTTACAATAATTTACTTCGTTACAGGATACTTAATATCAAATTTATTGTTATATAACGCAAATGAAAGTAAGTGTAACGCTGCGCGCGATCAAGTCTATAAACGCGGAACTACGAGACAAATTTGAAACGTTCGAATTTTTAATCGCGACCAATATAAGTCACACACGTGCTATAATATATATGTATGTTCCGACGAAGTCACTTACACACTAATCGCCTTAATTAATAAACGATAAGAAAAGATTATTCTATATTCAGCGTATCCTATACACACTGTTACATTGTAAAATTGATAAATAAATAAATGTAATTATTTACATGTTTTGTTGAGTGACCCTCCATCTTTTCTAATTTCTGATATCTTCAAAAATTTGCTCAAAATTAACAAATTATAAATGCGACAATAATAAAATTGTCATTTCATCAATAATCAACAAATTTTATTTAGTTTTAGCTCATTTATATCATATCAATTTTAAAAAATTCAATAAATTAATTTTCACGATTAATTTTATTAACTTAATAAATTGAAGAAAATATAATAAAAATAGCTAATCTTTTTCCTTATTCGTATATAAAATTAGATTTTAAACTTAATAGAGAGCAATTCTCGTATATAAACAATTTTCTAATTTAATTATGTCATATGCAAAAAGTCGTAAAAATTAATAGAAAAGAGTCTGTAATTTTTTTACAGACATTTGAATCTTAGTTTGTCTGTAATTTTATTCATTTACAAAATGTTATAATTTATCATTTTACAATTATAATCAAATATTGCTTTGCGTAATTTGTCTATATAAATTCGTCTCATATATAAAATTAATTAAATCAAATTAATTAATTAAAACAAAAATATTCGATAAAAAATAACATTTTACTATCATCTAGCAAAAAATTGTGCAAAATCTATCTGTTACTGATAATTTATCCACGAATGTAAACTTTAGTTCTACATTTCAGCTTTAGATGTCTATAGTATTTCGTTGTATAAAATTTTCTTGATATAATAAAAAAAATAGTATATTTATAATAAAAAAACCTATATTCATTAAAAAAGAAAATTATATTTGCAATTACTTAATTATATTTAAATATAATTTTTATTTAATCTGTTCTTAAATAAACTATAATAATTTATAAGTTAATATCACATTTTCTTTACATAAAATACTAATTTTGAGTTTAAATTTAAAAAATAAATAGGGCTAAGAAAACAATAAAATTCAATGAAAAAGAGCCAATAAAAGAGAAATTAATTAAATTTCTAAGTTAAATTAAGTCAAATTCTTTTAAGAAATGTGAAAAATGAATAAAGATTATATAATCTATAATACGACACGAATATCTTCTCATCAAATTGTTAATTAATGTCTACAATTTTCGATTTCATTATTTAATTTTTTTCCTCTCCTATATTTAATATTCCATTTCAGCAATTTAAAGATTAAAGATTAGTTTGAAACACAAAGATGTACGAATAACAAAAGTGTGAATTTATTTCGGAATGCACAACTGGATATGTACATACGGGGTCACCATACGTAAATCCGCGTCGAGTTCATCATTGACATTAAGGTCGTGTTGTCGGAGGTCACACAATAGGTCAATGTACGCTCGGCCTCACGTTCTCCTGCGTGACAGCGAGTTATCCATTGGGTGGGACAATCTCCAAATTGCAATTTATTTCATCGGTTTCAATTTATCAAAATCAATTTTATGGTTCGTTTACGTCATAGACCTTTAAGAGCTATAAAATTTTAAGATTCACGCAAAAAATTGGCAATTTCCCCGTCCTCCGAAAAAAATTTTTAAAAGCCACCAGTGAAAAATTTCTTGTAAATTTTACATTTTCGTTTATCTTTATTATTTCAAAGAAACAAACAGTAAAGAAATTTGTATAAAAAATTAATAATTTTTATTTCTAGAGAGGCTATTAAAGGTGAAATTTTGAGTAAATCTGACTTGAAATAAAATGCAGAAGGTGAACAGTTTGAGTATCTCTATGTCTCTGTATTTTTTTCCCCGAAAGAATTTTGTATAAAAACATTTCCTTTCGTCAATTTTATATAAAATGTGAAAGCAAGAAATTAATACTAGACGATTAGCCTTTCTGAGATGATAAGTCTCTCCAAATGTAATAGAAACTATAATTTTTATAAGAGTATCTTTTTCTCACAACTTGATCATGCTCTGTTAATAAAATTCTTCGACGCAAAGTCGCTCGCATACGTCATAATTTAGAGCGAATGCGTGGCTATATATAAAAACTTGTGTCCACGCGATATTTGTTGTTAACTGTGAATTGAATAACGTTATACGCACACACGCAGAATCGCACGCACTTATATATACACGTGCGAGCGAGCGTCGCGTTAAAGAGCCGAGGTAAAGGGAGGTCGATGGAAAGTGATATAATCGCGAATGTGGATCGGCTCAAGGAGAGCAGAGAAGAGGAGATCCTTTACCTTACTTATGTAACGAGCGACCGTGGTGGTGTCTCGTGTCTTCGACCGCGTCCCGTATAGAGGGAGAGCGAGAGGCTGCTGGCTCTCCATCTCGCTCGCACTACCACCACTCCTCCTCATCTCCCACAAACGTCATTCGCCTTGACTCTGTCCCGCACACTCTCTGCTCGACACTGTCCCTGAAAATTGCTCCATGGGACTCGTTCACGCAAGCGCGAGATTAATAGGCGTTCATCCGTAATTGTAATTATTATCGAGCAGACGAAGCGAGAGGAGATTTCTTGCAAACTGCATATTATATTGCACAAATCATTAAATCAATCATTGAAAAATAAGCGAGAGAAAAGAAATTATTTGCAATTTATTTGCTCCTTTTATTGGGTTCAAGAGTTCATTTATTTATTATAATATTTATTGTTTAAAGTTTAAATATTATGTGAATATATTTTTAATATATTTCTATAACATCTTCTATATTTGTATTATATTTAAATATACAATTCGCGCAAAATTCTGATACAGTTAGACGTATCAATCATTATTTGACGTATCGAAAGTTTCGATCGTATAAATATTTGACAACAAGATATCTTGCTCCCATTTTTCATTTTCTAGAAAAATTCTATCAGAATTATCTCCGCATCAAAGAGGATGAAAGAGCTCTGAATGCTCGATTCCCAACCTTGCTCGTTTGTGTCTATGTGGACATCGGTCATGATACTCCTCTCTCTCGACCCTCTCCGGAATCTAATAGACATAACGTTACATCCTCGGCGGGCCAGTTTGTACTGCCGAGGGTCCTGACTTGGGTCTCTCCCTTCTTCATTTTATTTTTGGCTTAATTCCCGTGTCCCTCGTCTATCTTTCTCAAACCTACTCGACGTAGGAATCACGCCGAAGAATGATTGTTAAGTATTCGATCTCCCTGGGGTCAATGACTAGCCACGTGGCCTTGCGCTGTAAGAGCCTCCGACAACCACGATAAAAATAAAAATCGTTCGTTTTCGCGTTCCGATGAGGAATGTTCCCGAATCAAATTCATTCGATTTCCAAGAAACTTGATTGGGTTTGTGGAGCAAAAAAAAATTAGCTTAATGTATTCCACCTTTCCCTGTTTTTCTCTATCCGTACTCGCGATTTAAATTCATGTTTCAATTCGTTCGACGCTATTTAAAATATTTTTCATGTGCGACAAGCTTTTTTAGTGTGCCTTTAAAGCAATGGATATTTTTTTAGAACACTTTTTTTTTATTATTCACTGATAATTATTTATGTAACGTGTGTACGATTTTACAAAGATATGTTTTTCATCGTCAAGATTGACAGAAGCGAAAAATGTAAAAAATATTTTTATCTAGTTCACTGATCAATGTTAAAGAAGTGATGGCGATTTTAAAGTTTATCGCTCTTTCATAATATTATCAAATTGTTCATTAATTTGATTATCCATAGAAATTTGCTGCAAATCAATGCAACCAATATACCTCGACCATATGATCATATTATCGATTTTCATTAATTATTCATTCATATCGTATATCGTACATGTTAATTATTCTCATTGATATTCTGTTATCCAAATTAAAAATACACTTCGCTTTTTGAAGTTTGTATCATATGTTTGTGCGAATTTCGATTATATGAAATTGTATATATTGCATAAAATAAATAACCGCTATTAGCAATCACACATGAAATTAATTAACAAGAAAACAAGAAAAAAACCAAATTAGTTTTTTTATTATTCATAATATAAACCAAATAAGCAGCATTTTAATATATTTAATCATATCTATTATAATGTGAAAAAAAAACATATTAAAATGTAAGAAAGATTAAAAAAAATTTGAATATAAAAAATCTCCTAATATTACCTATCGTCTATCTAAATTGTAGTAATTAAAATGAATCTCTCTTTCAGAAAAGACCACTCATCTTCTGCGAGATATCAATGTGGCAAAGCTATGACGCACAAGCCAGTCTATTTTCAAGATTTTATTTTTATGTTTACTCGCTTCCCATAGTTATGCATATAGTGTTTTATGATATAGCATCCCATTAAAAATGTCCCCGCTTTTGATGTCACAAAATACACGTATATAGATCGACTAGCTTATTGCTTGAAATTTTGACAGATCGGTCCGAATAAAGAAGTACTGGCTCACGACATTGCAAAAAGTCGCCATTGTGGCGAAGCTATATCGGCGCGAGATAATTTCGACATCGAAAATGAGGGCCGTTGTTGTCGGAGGTCATTCGTCGGTTCAACGCTCGGGCCATTTACCTGTCCGCCAACTCGAATCCTTGGCCGCTGACATTGTGGAGAGCGACATTAGCATCCCGTTTGCGGGCGACTATCTCAACGCCTTCGAGAGAGATCGATATCGTTCCGTAATTCAGGCGAACCGAAGAACATATCGATTGTGTAAATCATGAAGGAGTATATGAATTATATCGGCGATATAAAACGAAGAGGACGACTTGTTTCGATCAAGCTTGTGTCGGAAAGTAATGTCGAAAAGTAAAAATGGAAGAGTATTCGTAATCAATAAAGATGCAGCGGTAAAATAGTGAAAGTGGTAATAAAAGAAATATTCACATTTCCAAATATTCACATATGTTTGATAAATATCTTTGAAATTTGATTGCAGAAACTCTAACACATATAGTTTTGCGGAAACGTTGCTCGTATACCTAGATATTTTTTTACTGTATTAATCGAAAACCTTTTTGCCGAGGAATTTTTCTAAGGCGTTTGCTGTTTCGTCCTTGGATTAAACGATCGTGAAATTGAAAGAGATGATCTTTCCTACATCTCTTCCATCGTCTTCGACCGGCGCTGGAATGAC